AACCCCAATAACCTACAAGGGTCCCGATTAAGGGTCCCTCCTAAAGCCCTTAGATTGGCGAGATGCTTTAACCACCGTGGCTGCGGATTGGAAGTGCGCAGAGCAGCGATTTTGGTAGCAAGTTGCGGCAGAAGCAGCAACAACCAGGTAACCAGCATGCAAAAACGCCAGACCCCAGACGTCAAAGAAACGCTCGACCCTAAACCTTCCCCTAAACTTCAGGAAAGTTCAGGTGCTGCGCAATCCGCAACCCCTCAGCGAGGAGGTTCGCGCTGCCGAGGCCTCGAAAAGCCGAACCTGCTTTTGAAGTACCCTAAAGCCTAAACCCTAAACCCTACAAACCAGTGCTGGGTAAGGGCTGCCCTTCGATCCTAGACCCGCAAATCCGAAATGATCAGCCGAACATACCCCCCGAAACCCCCAAATGAGTAGTTCGGTAAGCTAGGGTCTTTTCTTTTGGCAACAAGGATGTTAAAATTTCGTTTAAAGGGACCTCATTTAGAAAATTACCTAAATGCTTGAACCGAAGCCAATTGGGCTCCCCGGCCTCCCGCGCCTCGTGCCTTGGAGGCCCGTGGGTCCAAGGAAGATTGGAATTGATATAGGGGGGTTGAGGGTTTGGGGTGTAGTGTGTAGGGTTTGGGGTGTAGGGTTTAGGGTTTGGGGTGTAGGGTTTAGGGTTTGGGGTGTAGGGTTTAGGGTTTGGGGTGTAGGGTTTAGGGTTTGGGGTGGGGGGTTGAGGGTTTGGGGTGTAGGGCTTAGGGTTTAGGGTTAACATAGGGGCCTAAACAATAACCCACTACTATTTTTGGGGTTCCTTGCTATAATTATGGTAGAATATACCCCAAAACCCTATTCAAATTATTAAGGCCCCTATATTAAGGGTTGAGTGTACTAAGCAGTTCCTATACTTGTACAAGCAGGTACTACAAACTCTACAAGCTACTCCCTCTGCTGCTCGCACTGCTGCTGCTGCTCCTTCTCCTACTACTACTACTACTACTACTACTACTACTACTACTCCTGCTACTAATCTTGCTGCACCAGGTGCTGCTGCTAGTTTTATAACGACGCTTGCTGAGCGGGGTGCTGGCTCAAAGCACTCGGACCTTTAGGTGTCTGGAGAACCTCAGGCTTTGGGTTGCGAGACTTCTGTGTCGGGTGCCTTTGCTTCAAATGACAGCTAAACGGGCTAACGGGTTCTACTATGTAAGAGCTCAAGACAGAGGTTTCAGGGCCAAGCCGTGCGAGGAGTACGCTTCACCGTAAGCCATGACAGCAAGCCACTCCCTAAGTCCATTCTGTTTCCCAGCGCTCAGAGAGGCTCTGCATTGCTCTGCTACCGCCGCCTCTTGATGTACCACTCCCTAAAGCCTGCAGAAGAATCCTACCCGTAAGTCCTAATCCCTAAACCCTAATGTGTTTTGTTCCAGGTTGGCCCACCGTGCATGCCGCCTCCGTGGACCGCTGCGTGGCCTCTGATGTGGAGGCCTCCGGGGGCAAATGAGAAGTTGAGGTTCTAGGGTTTTGGGGTTTAGAGAGGGGAATAGATCACTTTTGTCAAAGCCGTGGCGATGTCCTTGACGGCTCTCCGTGTAGCACATGGAAGATCATTCCTCAACCCAAAAGTAGTTGTTAGGGTTTAGGACATCGATCGTGACGGCCTGGTGCAGTGCAGTGCTTTCTGGGTGTTTGGAGCAGAACGTGATTATAAAAGCTTAGGTTTCAAGAGCTGCCTGTGGCAAGTCAGTTTCAGCGGGACATCTACAGTGCTGCAGCCACATGTCAAGCTGCCAAGCCTCAAAGGCCAAGCGAAGACCAAGTCATGATCTGGGCCCCTGGCCCGAAACTGTAGCCATTTTGGGTTTAGGGTTTAGGGTTTAGGGCCCTACAGCCTAAACTGAACGTTAGACGTTCACACCCAGAACCCCAAGTTCCATAAGCCATGGCCGGCTCGGCCTTCGACGAAGCTCTGAGCGGCACGCTCCAGAATTTCATTCAGCGAAGCCCACCGGGGCATCTTCCGGACTGGGTGGGGTTTAGGGTTTAGGGTTTAGGGTTCAGGGTTTAGGGTGGTTTATGGTTTAGGGTTTCGTGGTTTCTTTCTTCAGGGGATTGCTGTAGTGGTTCCTTCAAGGGTTTGTTAAGGGTTCCTGCAGGATACAAAAAGGTTCAGGAGGTTTTGGGTTTGTTGTGTCAGGGTTTCGGGGTCAAGGGGTTTAAGGCTTTAGCTTGGGGATTTGGGGCCGTTTTAGGGTGGTGTCAGGTGACCATCGTTGCACTGGGGTTCGAATCTACAGACAAACGAGCAACAGGTGAGTATACTCGAGGAGTAGGGGCTCACCGAAAAGAAGTAGGTCAACGACAGAGATAGGGGGAGGGAGACATGCATATGTACATGTTAAATGTATACATATTCATATATAAGCACATACACACAGACACACACACACACACACACGTGCATGCACATGTCTTATGTACATGAAAGCAGTAGAGCGAAGGAGCAGATCGTTGTCAAGCGGAGCAACTTACACAGATGTTGTAGGAATAAATTCGGCACCAGTCGTACACGTTCCGAAATCGGGCACCGGCAAAACAGTATATGACCGTTAGTAAGATTCCCTTTGAGTGTCAGAGGTTGTGATTTTGAAGGGGCTTCAGGCTTCTAGCCTCAGGCAGCTAAGAGCAAGAGGCTTGAACGCGACCAGTCCTAAATGCGAAACTCCCCACCCACAACCCGGAAGCCAAAAGCCTCAAGCAAGAGTTTCGGTGAGGGGCAGGATGACGGCCGAACCGACTGGGCAGGGCTCCGGGGTGCACTACGAGCACAAAAAAAGACGGACTTGTGGAGTCTACTTTATAGCAAGGCATATCCCACAAAGTACACCTCCCAGAGGCTGACCGTCTCATTAAGAATCGAAGATGCCTTGGTAGCTTGCCTCCCTAAGCTCAGAAGGTTTGCATGATGGAACCAACCTGCAGCTCCCGAGGGCTACAGTGTTTCAAGCCATCCCAGGAGCCTTTGACATTCGACAGGCCCCACATCCATCCCCAAGCCAGGGTCTAGGATTTCTGTAAGGTCGAGAGTTTGAGATGGTTCTAGACAGGGCTTTTCATGGCTAAGAGTGTTAAACCAAGGCAACCTCGACCACCCTTACCACCCTCGCAGGACGTCCTGGCCCGGTGTCGGCAGCTCGTTGCCCCTGCAAACCTGCCCAAGGAGCCTGCAGGGCGGGATTTCCGAGGCCACAGGTGGGTGTCGGGCCTGTAGGGACTGCATGCGAGTGTAGCGCGCTCAGAGTTGAGACTGGTCGGGTGCTGGGGGTTCTTGCATCGTCATCCCGTCTTTGCCGGAGAGCAGTTGTAAGGTAGCACTACGAGCCTTAAAGCCGCATGGAAGCGAAACCCATAGTTTCAGGACTTGGTGTGGCGCGCATGCGCGGCTCACAATGAGCGGAACTTCCTCATCGTGCGGCCGCCGACGGAGGGTGCAGCCCCTAGGCAGCGTTTGGTTTTCCTGTTGCAGGGCCTTAGCCGTAGATGGTCCTTGGATTCCGACAAAATCTCAGAAAGCTACGCGTTAACCTCGATGCCTGAAGATGCGACCTGCAAGTTTGTGGGGCCCCCAAAGCCCTCCAGACCTGCTTGTGGGCACCAGGAGATGCGAATGCCAACAGCACCATAAGCCAAGACCCCTGAGTTTTAAACCCGGAACCTCGGAACCTACACCATCTAGCCAGCGAGCCGGTTCATCGTAGCGTCCGAAGGAATCTGGCGACCTTCTGGTGGTGCATGAAAGCGGACGTGCCGGGAGCCGTGCGCAGCAGCAAGTGCCCTACAAGGACCTGTAGGTTTGATTGGGTTCTTCTTGCCAAGTTGGCACAAAAGTAAGAGCTTCTAGCATTGAAGGAGCCCTGCAGCGGAACCAAGTCGCGAAACCCAAGCTGCGAGCTAGATGGGGGCATTAATAAGCAGGGTGGATCACCCTCGTTTGCCCTAGTTTGTCTTCCAACAATGTTGGAAAAGCATGGCAGGTTCGACACTTTCGCATGTTAGCATTGTTGAACATTGCCGTTATGATGATATGCGTTGAACATTGCCGTTATGATGATATGCGTAGCAAACAAGGCAAAAACACCCGATGTCTCTGCGTGGAAAAAATGTTGATTTTTACCACGGGCATGGATGCACTGGCCACCTGTAACGGGCAATGGATGCCCTGGCCAATGGACGGGTTGGTAGGATGGACGTTATCATGGTTGGGGCCTGGATGCACTGGCCGGATGGCTTGGTCGCTCTCAGAGGGGCAAACGAGGCTGATCTAGCCACTACTTGTAACTATCCTGTAGTTTGATGGGGTGATAGGCGAAGGAGGTTGAAGGATGGGCATATTTCCTGGCCAGTGTGGCCGCCCACGCTTAACCTTTTGCGAGCCTTTACAGGGCCTCCATGTTGTCCACTTGCTACTCGTATGAGTCCTTGAGCACCTTTTGCCGACAGAGGCTGAATTACACGCCCTGCACCCCAAGTCCCAAGGGGGGGAGCGCATGGCTGAAGTCTGGGGGCGCTTCGGATTTGGGGCGTGCAGACTTTAGGATTGGTGCGGTGTGCTGCAGACGTCGGTGGGTGGTGATGATGACTATCAACAGTGAGTGCGGCCCTGGTGGCCGCGATCGTGAAGGAACACAGTGAGGCTTCTTGGGTGTGTCTGGTAAGAAAGGTTTAAACAGTTTGCGGAGTTGCGAATCCAGGGTTCAGGATAGAGAATATTAAACTACGAAAACCCCCCGACACGGGTTCGAGCCTTTGGAAGGATGGCTTGACTGACAAGCTCTTTGCAGTGGACCACGAGCGGCAAGAGTGCACCCGACGCCGGCCGAATATGGGGGCCTTAATGAATACCCATATTATTTTGGGGGTTCCTTGTTATAATACTTATAGTATAATGGGCCAATTTCTAATTATTAAGATCCCTACATTAGGGTTTCAGCATGTTCTTGAGGGTGTGGGCCCAAGTGGGAGTTCGAAGCCTAGTCCTAAGGCTGCATATCCTGAATCCTGCGCTTTGCTTCGTACACTCAGGCAACCCTGAACCCTAAAGCTTAAAAACCCTAAACCTTAAGCCCTTAACCCCAAACCTCAAGCCGAAACCTCAAGCCCCAAACCAAATCCTAAACCCCAAACCTCAAGCCTAAACCTCAAGCCCTGAACCAACTCCTAAGCCCTTAACCTCAAGCACTGAACCTGCAGATCTGACCATTCCAACTCAATATATCTTCGGCTCCAGAGACCTTTAGGGTTTAGGGTTTTAGGGCTTTTGGGCTTTTGGCTTTGACTCCGCGAGCATTAAGCTACACCCATTCGGCGAGGTTTCGGGCTGCACCAAAGTGTTGCTTTGGCATTTTTGAAGTCTGGGGCTTTCGAGTTGAGGGTGCATATGATTATAATTGATTTTTTTTGGGAGGGGGGGAGGTAGTGGGGGCTGGGCAGGAACATGTATTTCCAGAGTAATGATTGGGTCAAGAAGTCAAAAGACGTCGGGCCCGTCGTAGGGGAATGTAAATCATCCTCAACCCTAAACCCCCAAAACAGCCTCGAAGCCCAAACCAGTTGAAGTCTTGCAGCCCCTCACCTCAGGAATGTGGAGTCAGCAGAAATCGGATGACCTGATGGCCCAGATGGCAGCTCGCCTGGCCTTACTTCTTCCTCTTCTGGGGTTTTGGGATACGAGGTCACCGAAACCCTCAGCCGCAGATCTAAAGACTCGAAACCGAAAACACTGACTCCTGAACCACAGGCTCAAGCTTTCCTTGCCCTACTAGAGAGTAAGGTCGCCTACGCTAGGTGGGTGGATTTAGGTTTGGGGTTAAGGGTTTCGGTTTTAGGGTTTCGGGCTTAGGGTGGTGTATGGAAAGGGGCGAGCCGAGGCAGGCATGCAAGGTACTGTACAAAAAGCTTTAAGGGTATTGTGGGGTTCTATGAGGTACCGCACGTGTATTGAAAGGATTCTATCATGTACTATATGGGTACTGGGTTCTATCATCTAGTTAACCATTTGGCTGTCGCAGCATTGTGATGCAGCTGCTTGAAGTTGAACACACTGTAAGCCCTAAATTTCACATGCGCAGCAATGTGGATGCGCGATCCAACCTGCACTTTCCGCTCAGTTTCTGTGGATTCTTTTTGACATTCCTACCGGCAGATGCAGCTGCAAAAACCGCGAGGGAGCTGAGGAACAACAAACAGAAGTGACTATAATTACTGCTTCTGCTGCTGCCGGTCTTCTTCTGCTGCTTCTTTTCCTCTGCTTCTTCTTTTTCCGGTGATCCTGGTGGTGATGGTGATGGTTGCAATATCAGCAGTAATGTTTTCTCTTGAACATGTCGTAACTTTCACGCAGCATGGCATTAAAAAGTCATAGCGCAATCAGACAGAGTCATGGATGTACATCAAGAATTTTGAAACAGCTTTAGACAGAACATGGCGGCCCTTTTCTCCGATGTGACTTTGCCATGTCTTCACCCCAATCTTCGCCTTGCACACAGCATTGTGTGGGTTAGTCAGTGATTGAAAGTGAGTGAGCAGGCGGGTACATGCGTAGCGCCTCGGAATTTACAGACAATGCAGGTATGCGTCAGGCAAAGGTGTGTGGGAGAAGTGATTAGATGGGCCTGCTGCTTTGGGAACCTCCTGCAGGATTATGTGACAAGATCGTCTTTCAACTACAGCCATGCCAGACCTGAACCCTAGGTTGACGTGTTCGGCTGTTCTAAACCCTAAACCCTAAACCCTAAACCCTAAACCCTGTGGTGCCTTTCGAGGACAACATCGACGAGGAGATCGCCGAGCCGTTCAAAGAAGCGCTCAAGTCAGAACTGCGCAAGTGCCTCGGTGCATGGCAAGAGCTTAGCTGCTGCCTTCAAGATCGAGCTGCCTGCCCTTTTGCAGCAAGTATATATTATATAGAAATATATATATATATATATACACACACACATTCCTTTTTATAGTTTGAAGTCGGCCAAAGCCAATCCAAAGCATCGTCGACTCTGTGATTGTATGGCAGCTCGCGGCTTCAAGACGCTGGTTCCTAAACCCTACACCCTAGGTCACCAAAGTGGCATGTCCGAAGACATGGCAGCTCAGGTACGTCGACAGCCGCTATGCAGATCAGGGAGGCATGAGCACAGGCGCTGCTTCTTACACACTTTATAGCAGCCCGAGGCAAGCAGTCGGTTCTGGAACCCTTCAGAACATCGGAAGAATCCCCCGCCAACGATATACATTAGATTTGTAGCATTGTGTGAAACGAACAAAGGCTTCAAAATCTACAATCCTAAACCCTAAACCTTAAGAACATGATATAGCAGGTTTGCAGCACAGGCGAGGTAGGTGCACTCGGTCGCAGTGGCTTGGATAAGCAGCCCATCCTCCGCATAGTGGCCTCGGCTCACGCCCCTTGAAAACGAAGATCTACTTGGTGGTTCATGGGTAGTTATAATTGGGGTTGTAAGTAGGGTAACTGTAGTTATGACCTATATTAGGGGACTTGTAACCCCACTTATGACTACCCATGAACCTCCAAGTAGATCCTAGACCCTAAACTCCATGGCAGCGAGCTGAAACCCAGGCAGCAAAGGCCAGGAAGTGGGCGGCGACATTGAGCTGACGCTGCTGGGCCGGAAGTTCACGGCTTCGCATTGGGTTTAGGGTTTAGGGTTTAGGGTTTAGGGTTTAGGGTTTAGGGTTTAGGGTTTAGGGCAGGTTTAGCTTTTCCCCTTTGGTAGACGATTTACTTGGAGGTTCATGGGTAGTTATAAGTGGGGTTATAAGTCCCCTAATATGGGTTATAACCACAGATATCCTACTTACAACCCCATTTATAACTACCCATGAACCTCCAAGTAGGGTTTGTTGCTTGGGGCGGCTCGAAGGGCTTAGGGCCTTCCAGAGTCTCTGGTTTAGGGTAGAAGGCTTAAGGTGTTTAGGGTTTAGGGTTTAGGGTTTAGGGGGCTTCGGACCTGCGTTTTCAATGCTGGGAAGTTTGAGCTTGAGGGGTTTTCGATTTGCAGGCCTAGCTGGGAGTTTGGGCGAACTTCCGGCACTCGGGGGTAGGAGGGGAGCGAAGAAGGTTTAGGGTTTAGGAGTTTAGGGTTTAGGGTTTAAGCGATGGGAACATGAACAGGAGTTCACAACTACGTGAGCAGCAGCGATATGAAGAATGAGACAGATGCTGATGTGACTTGCTGTCGCGCTTGAGTCAAGACACCACGTAAGCTTGCAACTCTCAAGCCGTAACCTGAGCTGTAGGCCCTGTCACGACTACTTGTGTTGCAGGTGTCCGGCGTCGAAACTAATTTCGAAGCTCATGATCAGCATCTAACAGCCCCCCTCCCCGAAACATGAAACCACCAACTCTGCAGGTTCAAACTCTACAGCCGCAAGCCCGTGACAATGAGAACCACTCCTGAAAGCTCGACCCTAAACCTCCTTAGCCCTAAACCCGAAACCCTAATCCAAACCCGACCATGACCATGTTTCAGAGCCCTTAAACTTCTTACAGCACCGCTTAAAGCAGCACTTTTAATACCCGTTGCAGTGACCCTTATAGTCTACAGTGACCCTATCGAACCCTAAACCCTAAGCCCTAGTCTTTAAACACCCAAACCCTAATCCCCAAACCCTAAACCCTGATCGCTAGTCCCTAAACCCTGAACCCTAATCCCCCAAAGGAAGCCTCAAAGGACCCTCCACTTGCCCCTGCAAGGATGATCGTCGCTGCCCGCCGGGCCAGACCTCGCGGTGCCTTTGAGAGAAGGGCACAAAGGATGCTATCAGGGTGGTTGTCAAAATTAGGGTCCCTTCTTGGGTACCCTAAATAATAGGGGCCGTATTATAATAAGGACCCAAAAAGGGACTATAATTTTGACAACCACCAATCAAGGTACGATAGGCAGCCAGACAATGGTGCTGTAGCGGTTGCTGCAAGTGTCTTGTGGGGTTCTTCTGGGGTTTCTTGCGAGGTTTCTGCAGCACTTGGCAGCGGGTTGTTGGGGGTGGTTCGAAGCCAGTGCTTGGGTGTTTGCGGCTCATGGGGTTGTACTTACCCTGGGCATGGTTTCGGGATCCGGGCAGTGTGGGTAAACGATGTACTGTTCGAAAAATGCTTCCTCGTATGCCCTAGCCAAACCCAGCCTGCGAAACCCACATGCCTCAAGTGTCATCGTCTTTTCAGATCTCAGATCTCCTCCATACAAGTCGAAATCACATGTCCCGGCATATTTGGGTCTTACTTTAAGTTTTCAGACGGCAGGTCTGGGCTTGAGTAGTCGTCGTGATCTTCTTGACCCGAAGGGCTCGCTCTATCCGAGAGGCTGCTGGAATCTCTGATGTGGTCCTTGCTTGCCTTCGTCTGCCATTTGTCGGGGCCTAAACCCTAAACCCTAAACCCTAAACCCTAAACCCTAAACCCTAAACCCTAAACCCTAAACCCTAAACCCTACTGTTCCACTCTAACCGGAGCCCCGAAGCCGACGAGGATTGTGGTCCGGCACGTGGAGCTCCCAGCAACGCGGGCCGCATTTGTTCGGGTGCGTGCGGTTTTAGTCTCAGAGGGGACTCTCGTTTCTTGGCGGCTTTGGTAGGCAGGATAAGGGTAGGGTTTAGGGTTTAGGGTTTAGGGTTTAGGGTTTAGGGTTTAGGGTTTAGGGTTTAGGGTTTAGGGTTTAGGGTTGTCCACGTGCTTTGTGACCTCGGGGCAGTAGTGACACATCTGTGGAGAAAGTTGAAGGCGTTTGCCAACTCAGCGTCTGCACACTTGTGGTGTGTTGGGCGCCCGAACTTGGGAATTATCGTTTCTGAAGTCGTCATCCTGCGTACTATCCAAGACTCTTTTATGACTATTATTACTATTATTACCGTTATTATTGTTATTGCTGTTATTTTCACTTTTTAATTGCACGATTGTAATTATCGTTATTATCATTGCTACTATGAGTGCTGTCGTTATTACTATGCTGAGCACATGCAGCAGACCCGGCATCCTCAACCATGTACGCGAGGTCTACACAACTACGGCCTGCCAGAAGGCCCTACACCCTAAGCCCCAAATTTCAAATGCAAACCCTAAACCCTAAACCCTAAACCCCAAACCATAAACCCTAAACCCTAAACCCCAAACCCCAAACTCTAAACCCTAAACCCTGAAAAAACACCACTGAAGCCCAAAGCCTTCAGCTCATGGTTTAGGGATTAGGGCCCTGACGGTCCTGCACTGTGGCCTCAGGGTTTTGTCTCAGACCTTTCTGGAGCGTAATGTAGGGGCCTAAACAATTACCAATACTGTTTTGGGGTTCCTTGTTATAACTTATAGTATTATATACCCTTCAAAACCTTATTCTAATTTGTAAGGCCCGTATAGTAGATGCACAGCACTGTCTAGCACTGTATACCACTCAAACCCCACCGGTGGATTTTCGGTCCCCTGAATCGCCGAACCCATAAATCGAAGCATCAAGCCCGCAAGCTCTCAGCGCTCTAAACCCTCTGGCTTGAGTTTAGGGTTTAGGGTTTAGGGTTTAGGGTTTAGGGTTTAGGGTTTAGGGTTTAGGGTTTAGGGTTTAGGGCACAAAGAAAGCCACTGAACAGCCCTAAGATCAGCCCCAGAAGCCCTAGCACGGCTCGCACAAGCGAGCATCTTCAGCGCAAAGGTGGCGCACGCTCTTCGAACCGGGGCAAGCCGAGCCGGTCAAGACGCCTGCTCTCAATTGAGAGTTTAGGGTAGTGGGGTTTAGGAGTCATCTTTTTCAGTTTTTGATTCTGCTACTTCTTGTTGCTGCGGCTGCAAGAGTGTAGCAGGGACATCATCTGTGACCATGATGATGATGGCGATGATGATTTTCATGATGATGATGATGATGATGA